TTTGTGTGAGTGTAAAAGTAAAAGTTAAAAAAGAAAATTCTAGAATTTTTTTCTCATCGTATACCAAAATCTAAATTAAACGTTTAATAAAAAAAAAAAAAAAATGATTTTATATAAAAAAAAAAGTAAAATATAAGGTCGAACGTGTCATAAACGACGTTTTTTTTTTTTTTTTCTCGATCGTGTAAGAAGAAAATGAAGGAAAAAATTATATATATATATATATATATATATAAAATTTTTCTTACACTTCTTTAACCTTTAAAAAAAAAGTTTTTACAAGAATAAGTAAAGTTTAATAATAATAATAATAATAATAAAAACAACACGAACTTATTTATTTCTTTATTTAACAAAAAAAATTACGCACACGTTTTTTTTTTTTTTTTTAATTTTTAAAATACAAATCCGTGGGTTTTTTAAACAACAACAAACAACAAACAAACAACAACAACATTTTTTTTTTTTACCCATAATTTTTTTTTTTTTTTTATGCAAAACACTCGTGATAAAAATATAATAATAATAATACAGATTTATTTCTTGCAAATAATTCAACACAATCGATGACGTAAATTAAATTATTATTATTATTATTATTATCGTTTGTATTAATTTAAATAAAATAATAATGGGAAGCCATTTTATTATGTTTCAAAAGGATTTTTAGGCTGTAAACATTTCTTCTGCTACTCCTGCTGTTGCTCTTGTTTCTACTGTTAATGACAAGTTAAATTTTATTTAAAAATCAACGCGAATCGTTTTCATTTCATTATTATTATTATTATTATTAATTTATTTCGATTACGTAATTTTTTATTTCGAACGTTTTTCTTACCTATTAAAAAAAAAATTCTTTGTTTATTATGATTATTATTACGTAATAAAATTTGGGAAAAAGGGAAAAATGGGAGGCACGCGACGTTTGTTTCAAAAAAAATTATTACGTAATAATAATATATTAACGTTGCATTAATAAAAAAAAAAAATTACTTTAAGAGATTTTAAAAGAGAAATAATGACATAGAGAAAAAAGGCAAAAAAAAATACTTTGACGAGAAAAACCGCAAAGAGAGAGAAAGAGGGAGAGGGAGGGAGGGAGAAAGAGGGGGAGAAAGCTCTTATGCGAATACCACAAATGGATTAAAATGTCGTCCAGAAATTTTGCTGTTTTGAAAGGTTCCTTTTATTTTAAAACCGAGAAACCGAGCCCTAGGCTGTCCTGATAGTACTTAAGTACCATAAAACATCTTTGTTTTTTTTTTCTTTCTTTCTCCGGGGAGACAGGGGAGGGGGAGGGGGAAAGAGAGAAAGAGAGAGAAAGGGGTTAACGATGTTTTTTTTCTTTGATATTTTTTTTTCTTTTTGTTCGTAAAAAAAAAAAAAAACAAACCCTTTAATTTATATTTCGAAGATTTTTCGCGACTCCCCCCCCCACTCTCGCCCCCGCCTCCCCGCCCTTTTTTTTCATTTTATAATCCCCCACGTATTTTTTTTTTTACGACGATTACTATAAAAATAAATAAATTTTTAGGTTCCTAAGCTAACAAAAAAAATTAACATTTCGAATGAGAAAAAAAAAAAAAATTATTTTTTTCACTCGCCGTTCTTTAATTTCCCCCCTCTCTCTTTCTCTTTTTTCTCTTTCATCAACCTACCCCCCAATCTCCACCACCACCACTTATTCCACCGGGGAGGAGGAAAAAAAGAAAAAAGTG